CTGTTTGCAGATGACATGATCCTCTACATAGAAAACCCTAAAGACTCTACCAGAAAATTACTAGAGCTAATCAACGAATACAGTCAAGTTGCAGGATATAAAATTAACACACAGAAATCTCTTGCATTCCTATACACTAACAATGAGAAAACAGAAAGAGAAATTAAGGTAACAATACCATTCACCATTGCAACAAAAAGAGTAGCTTTATTTTTTAAAAAGATACTTTGTTTTAAAACCACAGACTTTTTTGTCTTCTTTGAAGTTTTATTTCATTATTCTCAGAAGGCTTGGTACTCTTGCTGGGACAATACAAAGTCTCAATTTGCAGTAACTATCAATACAGCTTTTCAATATTTCCTCTTCCATTGTAGTACCTTACAATGGAAGAGGAAATTTAGAGACATGCTTTAAACTTTTCATAGATTTTAAAAAAAAATGTTTTTTATTGGACTGGAATTGATCTGCAATTTTGTGTTAGAAAACGACAGACTCTTTAGAGTTTTAAATCATTTTTTTACATTTTAACAACTTTTCCCTCCTTTTTTAAGTCACAAAGCCAAAAAGAAAGTCCTAACAGCATAAAACCCTCTATCTGTCATGTTATTTATAGGCAGACTTTCAGGGCAATAGATAAAAATGTTGCCGAGTAAACACATAACTACTTGGGAGACATTTGAACCACGTTTAAAAAAAGAGAAAAAACAGGGAAGAAAACTGCCGAGCATTTTGTACTCAAAGAGTTGGCCATTGTGCTCTGAAATGCTTACACCGGGGAATAAAAAGGCCAGGAGGTCGTTTTCTGACGGCCTGAACCCAGGAGGAGGGGCCTGGGATCACAGGGAGTGGGTGTGCTTGCACATGGCAGGTACACCCACCCATGCACTCACACATACACGCAACTCATCATGTACAGACACACACCCCAGTGTGCACACACGAGTGGCACAGAGAAGCCAGATCACTCCTCCTGTCAGAAGGTCAGTCTGCCCCTGGAAACTAATGATCAGGGCTCACCTGCCCATAGGAGGCTGCCTGGCATAGAAGTTTCTGTGTGAGTGATGGATGTTCCCAAGAAGAGCCTGTACTGTGTCTTTATGTAGCATCCATGTTGGTTTGAGACTAGAGACCAGGGCTCGGCTCTGCCTGGAAGGGCCACGTGTGCCTTGGAGGCAGGCAGTGGGTTTCCCAGGCTTTTCTGGTCCCTGGAAGTGACTCCTTGCAGTAGACACCTGGGCTCCACCATGTGGATTAGCTGCTGACTCAAATATAATCTTTATTCACCCCAAAGGTAACCACTCATAGAGAGCCTCATCCTAACCGTGAATCATCCCACAGACCTTTCTTCGCCTTTTCCTGGGACCATTGTCCCCATGGTGGTCTGTCCGCTAAATTCACTGTCCTTCTACTCACAACAGTTAGATTTCCAGAGCCCCAAAGGCACATACACCAGATTTTTTTTAATAGCTTTGTCAGGGTATGGATTATATTTTAGTTTCAAGTGAAACTCATATTTGTACACATTTAAAGTCTTTTGAGCTCAGCCTGTTCCTTGAACATCCGGCCAGAGTGGAATAATTATTACTCATATTCAGGTTTTAAATAATGTAATAATGCCCTTCTCTGGGATTTACCCATAGATACCAATCTTCCTAAGAAAGCTCATTTGAAAGACTCATTTTGCACTTTGATACTTGAGAGGGAACAGTTGATGCAGGGAAAAGAACCAGAGTTTAGAGCCAGAAAGACCAGAGATCTCGTGTTGCCACTGCTCTTACTGACTGGGCAGTCTCGCTGGGCACACAGTAGACACGCTGGACACGTGTGTGAAATTAACAAGTGAATGAAATTCGGGCTTTTATGATGAAAACCAACAGTGACTTAACTTACCTGATAGGAACTTACTTTGGGAAAAACTTCTCCAAGTGCTTCTGTTCTGTAAAAGAAGGACTGCTCTCATACATTTGTAGAAATGAAATTGCACTGTAGGACCTCCTGTTAACCTTAATATTGTGTAAGGTTATGGTTTCAAATCTATGTATTGGATCTGTGCTTTGAAGAGCGTGCATGTGTGTGCACATGTATGTGTGTGCATGCATGTGTGTCTGTGTATGTGCATGTGTGTGCTCATTTATGTGCATGCATATATGTGTGTGTGCGTGTGTGTGTCCATGTCCTCGAAGCCAATCATGGATGCTCTGCTGACCCCTCCTCCCATGATGTCACACCTCTACAGGAGCTGACGGGCAAACTGCCTGTAGAGTATCCCCTGGATCCAGGAGAGGAGCCACCCATTGTTCGAAGAAGAATCGGGACGGCCTTCAAGCTGGATGAGCAGAAAATCTTGCCCAAAGGAGAGGTGCGTGTTTCTTCTCTCTGTGGCTGGATTCTCTGACACCCGCCTTACTGGCCCATTTGTGAGGATGCCAGGGTTTACTCTGATGATGTTTCATTCTACCCAACACCGCACCCTCTTTCCCTCCTGAGTAGCCCTCCTTGTAATCTTTTCTTAAGTTGTCTGTTTGGTCAGTATTCAGTGCCTGTTGGTAGGATTGGTTACCTGTGTTAATCTGAAAGCATTTTGATTTCTGCAGAGGCTGTGTGTCTGACTCAATAGGCCTGTCGCAGGCAGCAAAGTTAACCGGAGGCTATTCCATAACAGTCACGTGTACTTCTCCCAGCTCTTTGTCACTGAGAGCCGAATGTGCTGTGTGATCTATGAGAGAAAACAATCAAAAAGGAAGAATGCTGAGGCCATGTCAGCAGGTGCAGGAGTGCTGTTGGCTGGGGAAAGACCGTCGGGTCTGCCCTTGCTGTTCAGTCACTAAGTTGTGTCTGACTCTTTGTGACCCCATGGACTGCAGCATGCCAGGCTTCCCTGTCCTTCATCGTCTCTCAGAGCTTGATCAAACTCATGTCCATTGAGTCAGTGATGCCATCCAACCATCTCATCCTCTGTCACCGGCTTTTCCTCCTACCCTCAATCTTTCCCAGCATCAGAGTGTTTTTCAGTGAGCCTTGGGCACCCAGTTGGTTAATAAGTTATCCAATCTCAGAGCAAGAGAAATTCAAGGCCAGGCACACCTCAGGCCCCAGGGGCACATCCAGGAAATGGCTTTCCAAATTTATTCCAAATATAGTTACTCATTACAACACTATTGAACAGAGGGTTCCAAAGGGCAGGAATCGGAGCCAGTGGAGAAGGGAATTCTGTACGTGCTTAGTGTTTTTAAAAAGAGAACCTGATGTTGTCACATAACACGTGCAGTAGTTGAGTTTAGGGGGAAACACACATGCCCTGGGGACAACTGAGGGGGGGTGACCAGCCTCCTGAAATCTGTAATAGCAGCCCCCCATCCCCAGGCACTGGGGAGAACTGGTGGATGCGCTAGAACCCTTCATCCAAACCCGGAGGCGGTTTTCCTCTTCTGTAGAACGAAGGTCATAACCCTCATCTCTCCAGACTGTCCCTGGGATTAAGTGAGCAAGTGGACGGAAAATATTTAACTCAGTATTGACAACTGCTAGATGCTTGGTAACCATGAGGGGTATTGCAGGAGGGGTGCTGGGCTGTGGGTGGGCCTGGGACTTTATCAGAGTCAGAACTGGGGTGCAGGCCGGTGCAATTTAGAGAACCGCCTGATGGAGTATTTTTCAAACCTGGCTGTCATCAGAATTGCCTGGAGACTTCCACTCCTCTTGTACTGGTAGGACACCTGCACTGAACTTTCCAGGGGAGACCCCACTGGAGTGAGCACCCCACCCTACCCATGCCCTGTTGTTCTTCCCACGTTCCCATCACGCCTTCTCACAGTGCCTCTGTCACACTTCCCTGTCAAAGATGCTCGGCTCCCTAAGAATCCCTGTCTCCTGCAGATGTCATCAGCAGATGCAACTTTCTCCTGGGAATGCCCTTGACCTCCCTATTCACACGCAGGCAGCCATCTGTGCGGATGAGCCGCCAGCCTTGTCCTTGGCTCGGTTTAAGTAGCAGGAGTGTGTCCCGGGCTCCCACAACATCGTGGTCAGGGTCTTGGGCCAGGGCTGTTCTGCCTGCCCAGGAGCAGCTGCAAGCTGAGGTCACTCTGACAGACTGGGCTGTGTCCTTGGTGACTTTTTTGTCTGGAGGGTCCGGGCAAGAGTCCACCTGGTTATGGTTACTCTTCTCCAGGGATGAAGAAATGCATTAGGCGTTTGAAGGACCCAGGGACTTTTATTAGCCCCTTACTCATTCCTTTCAGTCTCCCCCTGGGCCTGTCCCTTCGGGGCTCCACAGGAAGTAAAGTCCAGCTCAGAGTTTTGTGCCTGATGGAGGCGCCCTGCCGGGCACACGGTGCCCACAGGTGAGGATGGAATATTCGGCCATTGACTAGGAAGTGTTGGCTCCAGCGAGCTCAGTGCTCTGTTCTCTCGTGGTTAGATCCGTTCCTTTCAGCCTTTAGCCAGGCTGTGGATCCTCCGGAGCTACAACGCGGGCTTGGGCTCCCTTGGTTTTAATGGTCTGGGCGGTGTTTGCAGAAGGCACCAGCTGAGCTGCAGAGAAGCCAGCAGTTAATCTGAGGGCCCCCTGCATCCTCTGGGCCCAGCAGGCACCTTCTGGCGGCCACAGTTGCATTTCTCCTGGGTTCAAAACCCTATTTAAGGGGAAATTCATCCCCCTGCTCCTTTCAGCCAAAGTCAGGAGTAGAGGAGGAAGGGAGGGAGGCACACGGGAAAGGAAGGGGTGCCCAGGATGATCCAAGGAGCAGGGAGCTGGCTCCACCACCCACCAGCCAGACTCACGGGGGCGTCCCTGGTCATTCAGTAGAAGTTGTGTGCAGAGCAGGTGTGTGTGGACAGCAGAGTTCACAGAAAAACATCTGAAGGAGGCATGATTAAGTAGGGATGAGGCCCAGCATGAAGGGCTCAAAATAGGAGAGACAGAGGGCATGTGCTGCGGCTGGGGGCAGGGGTAGGATGTCCCTGTGAGTCCCCTGCTAGCAGACCCACAGAAGAGCACAGAAAGACCATGCCCCTGATGGAAAGCGAACACCAACCCAGTGGGCCCTGGATCGCCTCCAAGCTGGGTCTTCCAGAACGTTGCTGTAGACCTTGGAAGTGAACCCTAGTGGCCCCCAGGCCTGAAAACTCCTTGCTTCTCAGTGACGGTGCCAGTCTCAGGGCTGATGTTGTCCCCAGGATGGATCAGGGGCCTAGCCTAGAGTCTCAAAAGTGGGCGTGTCAAGGTCCCTGGCTGCCAGGGACTGGAGGAGCGGGCGCTGAGGGGCCAGGCCCAGCTGGGGTGAGCCCTGCGGCCTCTGGCTCCCTAGTGCACATGTCCCGCGCGGCGAGGCAGGGTTGGGAGGATGGGCCTCACCTGTTCGGCATCCGCCTAAGTGCGGCCTCGGCTCCCCCTCCTGCAGGAAGCCGAGTTGGAGCGCCTGGAGCGGGAGTTTGCCATTCAGTCCCAGATTACAGAGGCCGCCCGCCGCCTGGCCAGTGACCCCAATGTCAGCAAAAAACTGAAGAAGCAGAGGAAAACCTCTTATCTGAATGCACTGAAGAAGCTGCAGGAGATTGAAAGCGCCATCAACGAGAACCGCGTCAAATCTGGAAAGAAACCCACCCAGAGGGCTTCGCTGATCATTGACGGTCAGTGCTAAGACCACTTCCCACTGTGGGTGTCCCTTCCCCCACTGGCCTCAGGGGATGGGCGTCGCTGTCCAGAGCGTGGACCCAAAGCGCAGACCCCTGAGTAACCTAGCAAGCTGCTGAACTAGCCGTGTGCCTTAATGTTTCCATCCATAAAATGAAGCTAGAAAGACCTGGTACCAATGAGAGCAATAAGATGCACTCAGAACCAGAGATAAAAGGGATTGTACAAATCAAAGGAGCATTATTACTCTTTATGGCCTCTTGGGAATGCAGTCCTCTCAGTCTCCTGGGAGCTGAATCCTGAGCCAGCCTAGGCTCCGACATCCTCAGGGACCTGGTCACCCTACGCACATCTGGAAGGAAAGGCGGGAGGCTGGGCTACCCCGAGGCCAGCACCCCCGCAGCCCTCTTTTGTCTCCATAGGCTTCTATCCCACTGCTGAAGCTGGAGAGATCTGGGGCTCCCCACTCTGATGGTCTAGAGCCCAAAACCCTGGTCCAGGAGGGGTTAGGAGCTGGGGAGACTATATTTGGTGAACACTAGAAGGAAAGAACCAGAATTCATCACCAACCCTCAATTCTCTCCCAACTATCATGATCCCTTTTTTTTTTAAAGTCAGCAAACACTGTTTCTTTTAATGGAAGAATAGTTGTGTTGTGTCACACTGCACTCCTTTCAGGCGTATAGCAAAGTGATCCCCAAAAGACTAGATATATACAGCTATTCTTTTTCAGACTCTTATCCTGTATTACAGGTTATTACAGGATAATTTAATATAGTTCCCTGAATATAGTAGGTCCTTCCTTATCAATTTCTTTAAGATATATTATCAAGTATCCTTTCATAGTTTATACACATTTATCATATGTTAGCTCCAGGAAGACAGAAAGTAGAAGAGAGGTTTGGAGGAGTTGGGGTAGGTGGACAGGGGACAGAGCTTTAGTTTGGGGAAGATGACAGAAGTTCTGGGGCTGGATGGTGGTGATGGCTGCACCGCAGTGTGGATGTTCTTAAATTCACTGAACTGTACGGCTAAAATGGTAAACTTTCCATTATGTATGTTTTACCACCGCTATGTGTATATATTGCTGTAACTGAAAACTGTGGGCATCCTGGGGAGGGGATAATAGACTGCTGGCTCCAAGATGCTAGTCAAGGCTGTGTCTCCTAGCAGTTCATAGTTCATCAAGAAATACAAATAAAGAGAATTCTTAGCTCAAAGAGAGAAGGATCATAACAATTCTCTCGCTCTAGGAAATTTGAAATTACTATCCTTCTGCCTCTTGCCCTATTGTCCTTGGCCAAGATGTTATCATGTTCCCTAAAAGAGCTGCAGTCAGCCTGCCTTTCTCTGTCTTCTCTGCCTTTTGGGACTTCCTTCTGCACCCTTGAAGGGACCTGGGGGTTCCCCAACTCTGCAGAAACATCAGCAAGGCTGATGGAGGCTGGGAGGGACAGTTGAGGCACAAACATCTTGCTGGTCGACCACAGAAGAGCATGGTTCCCCCGCCTGCTCAGTGAGGGCCATTCTGTGAGGACAGCCGGCAGAGTCCGTCTGTATCTCTCTCTGACCAGCTGGTGAATGGTCCCATCCAAGCTGTTAGCCATGTATTTTACCTGCTTAAGAATATACCTTTTCCATTTTGCTGCCTCCTTGAAATAATGTTTCATCATAAGAGCCCACTTGAATTAGAGTAATTCCAGTTTCTTCTTCCATGCCTTAGCCTGGTTTGTTATTTAAGAGATAAAAGGCTAAGTTTGGGATCTAAAGACCTGGGATCTTATGCTAACTTAGCCAGGAGAGCAGCACAGTCCTGGACAAGCCATCCCTCCCTAGATATCCCTCAGTTTCCCTAGCTGCTAAAGGAAGGGGATTACCTTTCTGTCTCCCTCTGGGTGTGTTCTCATGGTTAATTGAATGGTGTCTGTGAAAATAAGCTTCGGAGAGAAAAGCTGTACTTAGAAGCTTGTTTTGTCTGCTAATGACTTAAGAAGTTTATTGAGAAGTCATTTACTGTCATATGAGCCAAACCAAGCTCCTCACCCTAGTTTCGCGTGTGTAGAATAAATAGCAGGTCACTTCCTTGGGTTGAGTTGGAACGCGCCCTGAGATGGGCCGAGGCAATGATGTGGCCAGGCGGCCTTTATGCTGGATATTAAGCTGCTCAGTATTGCTGTCGCCAGTGAAACAAAGAACGGGCACATTGCAGTGTCAGGGATGGGGGGTGAGTCATGACCTACCACAGAGACTGTCAAAAGAAATGCCTAAGAGCATTTTGATTGTGTTTCATGGGTTCTTTCTGATTAGAAAGAAATGGGATGGTGGGAAACTCAACGACGTTCACAAATAGAGCTTTGTCTAAGGGGTGTGTTCAACTCATACATTTATGCTTTTTGTCTTCCCAGATGGAAATATTGCCAGTGAAGACAGTTCCCTGTCAGATGCCCTTGTTCTTGAAGATGGTATGTTGTCTGTTTCCTGCTTGAGAACTCAGAGCATAGATTAAACTGAATGTAGTCTGGGACAGCCTGGGATTAAACTATATGTAGTCTGGAACAGCCCAGTGGAAACCCAGGAGCCGGATCAAGATGACACTGGGTTCCCTGTGATTCTTTCACTTCTCAGTGGTCACCTATTTGGCTGAGAGTGGGTGGGCACTACAGAAACACATGCCTATTGGAATTTCATAATGTCTTGGGGCCTGGAGGTAAGATTTAAGGTGATGGTGAGTGGTTTGAGTTGTTTGGTCATGTCCAACTCTTTGTGACTCCATGCACTGCAGCACGCCAGGCTTCCCTGTCCTTTACTGTCCTCCTGGAGTTTGCTCAAACCCATGTCCATTGAGTGGGTGATGTTATCCAAGTGTGGATGGTGTTTGACTTTTTTATTTGCCAAAACCACATTTTTACCTGAACAGATGATTTAAACACCATGTATAGTTTCCTTTTGAGTATAATTTCTGGAGGAAAGAAGTGGACATTGGTTTGGGTCATAAAGATTGAAACCATCTAGGAGAGCCTTCAGGCAGCCAGAAGAAAACAAGTCTCTGTACCTTCCTGAGAAATGGTGAAAGGGAAAGAAGGATGTCCCTTTAGACTCCTGGTCACCTAGAAAACTGTCTTCTTATTGCTCATTGATCTCCAAAAACATAGTGATTCTCAGGATATTTTCTTGGGAAATTCTTACAAAACTAGAAGTGATCGCACACCTACCACCCCCCAACCCCAGCCCACCATCACCACCAGCACCACCAGACATCAGAGAAGGAATTCCAAACACAGAACCATATTAGAGAATGTTACCATGAATTTAAGCCCAACCTGAAGAGGTCAGGGCATTAATGACATGGAAATACTGGATTGGCCAAAAAGGTCGTCCAGGTTTTTCTGTAAGATCTTTTTGACTTTTTCTTCTTTTTTTAAATCTTTTTTGACCAATCCATCGTCTTAAGTGGCAGTTATTTATTTATTTTTTTTGCCCTTTAGGAAAACTTCAGGTGGTAAGGGGTGATTCAGAGAGAAAACATGAAAGATCTTGCTCCCAGTCATAATGATAACTGTAATATTCATTGTCGTTGATGTGAGATGAGGCTGGCAGCATATTTACGCAGTTGTCTTGGCCCTGCTATTTGCAATCAGATCATCATATTTTGGAGAACAAAATGGCAACCCACTCCAGTACTCTTGCCTGGAAAATCCCATGGACAGCGGAGCCTGGTAGGCTACAGTCCATGGGATCTCTAAGAGTCCGCATGACTGAGCGACTTCACTTTCCCATTTCACTTTCATGCACTGGAGAAGGAAATGGCAGCCCACTCCATTGTTCTTGCCTGCTAAGTCCCGGGGAGGGGGGAGCCTGGTGGGCTGCCATCTGTGGGGTCGCACAGAGTCCAACAAAACTGAAGCGACTTGGCGGCAGCAGCATACTTTTATTCATTACATGGGTGGGAGGAAATGCTGGAACTGCAGGGGAGTGGGGGCCATGTTTTGAATAGCAGAGATCCAGCGCTGGTTTTGAGCTCTGTGGACTCCAGTCTCTGCTGGGGAGGAAAGTGGAACATTTGAAGGAGATTCCTCTGTAAGGAGAACCTGGAGTAGGAATAGAGTGTCCTTAGCATTGCGTGTGATCGGTTTCTTCCCCACATGCCAGACCTTGGACCTACCAAGGGGCATAACTACATCACTTGGGCCCCCCCACTCCCATCGCAGGTTGCTCCTTCCAGGGGCTCCTTCCTCACTGATTTGAGGGGTAAAACAGTGAAACCCCTGCTCCTGTCCACTGACCTCCGATGGCGGGGGTGGAGTTAGGGTAGGCGGAGCCTGCGGGGGTAGTTGGGGAGGATGACCCTTGCTAACTTACACTCTTTTTTCCGTCTTGGTGCAGAAGACTCTCAGGTCACCAGCACACTGTCCCCCTTACAGTCCCCTCACAAGGGGCTCCCTCCTCGGCCACCGTCGCACAACCGGCCGCCTCCTCCCCAGTCCCTGGAGGGACTCAGGCAGATGCACTATCACCGCAACGACTATGACAAGTCGCCCATAAAGCCCAAAATGTGGAGCGAGTCCTCGCTAGATGAGCCTTACGAGAAGGTCAAGAAACGTTCCTCGCACAGTCACTCCAGGTGAGCTGGGCCGGGAAGGCCACACGAGGTCATTGTCCACACTTGGGCAGAATCCAGGGTTAAGTAGCATCTGTGAGTCACAGGTACCCACGCTGCGCCTCCCCTGGGCTGCCTTCCAGCAGGGCTGCGCCACAGCGCCCTCTGCTGCCGACTCGCTGGAGGTGCAGATTTGTCATTCGCAGGGAAATTGGGGTTTTTGGCTCACAATCCACGTTTGCAGCAGCTTGCTTGAATGTCCTTAAATTCCATGGCAATTAATTAGGAAATAATAGGCAGAAGTATTCTGAAATGGCAAATTAGAGTCCACTCATAAGAATCCCAAAATGGCTGAGAACCCTAAACCATCATCCAACAGAATTCCAGAGCCAAACAGCTGTAATCTTCGCTGTGTATTACCAGTTCATTATTCAGCTGATATGGAGAGGGGGGTTTTTGTCTGCCTCTCTGTTTTTCTCATTTCCCTTCATTATGCCCTGTAAAACTCCCAGTGGGTACCCAGACAGGTAAATATTTGTCTTATGGAAAACAGAAACTGTGGTTGAAGGCAGGGGCTTCACAGAACAGGGGCTTCATCTCACGTTGCCATAAGGCATGAAGGGTAAGGGATAAGGACACCCATCCACTTCTGGGGGAGTCCTGGGCAGACTTCCCTGACCCCGAGAGGGATGTCCTGAGGCTACAGTCAGAGACCTCAGTGAAGGGGCAGCCCTAGCAGGCAGTGACCAGCGTGGCCTCCTCTGGTTTGCAGCAACCATAAGCGCTTCCCCAGCACGGGGAGCTGTGCTGAAGCAGGAGGTGGGAGCAGCTCCCTGCAGACCAGCCCCATCCGCAGCCTCCCGCACTGGAACTCGCAGTGCAGCATGCCATCCACACCTGACCTCCGCGTCCGGAGTCCCCACTACGTGCATTCCACGAGGTGAGTCTCCCCATCTCCCTCCATGGGCCAGACCCCCACCTTTGTAAAATTTGGCCCCACACTGGCCCAGGTAACTGCTGAACTAGAGTCAGGACTGAACCAATGAGGTAGGCTCTTCTGTAAGTGAAGCAGAATTAAAAACTGAGCAGGCAGCAAGAGGCCCCCAGGAGCCAAGAGACACATTTTATCCCACTGTCTGTATCAGTGGGGCACCAGGAGCTGGCCGGGAATCCCTCAGACACTGTGTATATGGAAGGAGCTTTCCTAGTAAGAGCGGAGGCGGGAACTTGAGCCGGATTAGCAGGGATCAGAACAGCCTTGCCCAGAGGAGGGTCCCCGTGTATGTGTATCTTTCTACTGAAGCCTAAGTTTATCCTGGACTTCCTTGAATGCCCCCAGGGGGTAAATTCATTAAACAGCAAAAAGAAAAGTGAGGTTTCAGTGAATTCCACCTTTCTTTCCTAAAAAGAAGCAAAACCAAAGCCATCAGTCAATTTTCTCTGACACTTAAATCCATAGGGACTGTAGTTCAAAGGACAGATAGTGTGATCTGCTGTAAGCGGTGAACCATTTATACAGGATAACACTGAGCTCTCCAGGCAAGAGTCTCTCATCCATCCATCAATTCATTCATTCACTCACTCATACAACAGATACTTATCAAGTGCATCTATGTACCAAATACCATTCTTGGGCACAGCGCAGTGGACAAAAAAGACTACACCATGCTTCCACCAGACTGATGTTTTAGTAGGAAGAGAGTTCACAGTAAAGAAATGTCAGCGGTGATAAGTATTGAGAAGAATAATGAATGGGCAAGAAGCTAGACAGTGAAGGGAGAGACCATCATTTAAATGAAACCAACAGAGAAGGCTTCTCTAATAAGATAACATTTGAGCAGAGACCTGGATGGGATGGGTGGTGAGCTCTAAGGATATTCAGGGAACAGGAAGGTCAAAGTGCCAAATTCAGGCTTGCACTTGGCATATTCCCATGAGCTTGGGTGGAAGTAGGGGGTGGGACCAGCGAGGAAACTGAGGCCTGAGTCAAAGAGGGCCACATGATTGGGATTTCACAGTCTACCCTGAGTGACAGTCACCCCTGGGACTCACCTCTTTGAGTACTTGGTCAGCCCAGCCATGGTGAATTTCTATGGAGTCCTTACACTCTACCCCCCCATGGCCATATTGATGGATATTATTATAATAATCCATCCAATAATCCATTATTATTGTGTGACTCCAATAAGTGGAATGGATTATAAGCAAAGTAGTGGAGGGGCAAGTGTTTATTTGCATCTGTCATTTTTAAGTGTTCCACGTGCCACCAGTCTTCCTTTTTACACAAGTGTTCACAGGAAAATAGAAATCTATTGACATGGGTTTCATAATAGTACTGGGTGGAACGGTATGATTGCTTCTGCAAGGCCTTTTTTGTTTTGGTTTGGTTTTTTTGACCTACTAAAATAACATTTCACCGACTTAACATAATGCTAAAATGGGGATAATCTTGGTTCACTGTGTCTATAGCATCTCTTTTCATCTTTAAAAAAAGGGAGGGGGGCCTGGCTATTGGCTTGCTTTTTTCAGAAGTTAACACGTGGGCACTGTCTCTGACTCCACCGCCCATTCAAAATCAAACATCAGAGCGGAGGCCTGGGGATCAGCCGTCCCCTTCTCGCCCTGTCTTCACTTGGGAGGGTTGGGAAGCACCGACTCTTGGACTCAGTTTCCGAAGTCTGACGCACGTTTCCAAGGGCCCCGGGCCGCGATCGCAGAGCTGCCAGACCCTTCCCCTGGGTGCCCCTAGACCCACCTCGCCGGTCCTCTCCCCACAGGTCGGTGGACCTCAGCCCCACGCGGCTGCACAGCCTGGCCCTGCATTTTCGGCACCGGAGCTCCAGCTTGGAGTCCCAGGGCAAGCTCCTGGGCTCAGAGAACGACACGGGGAGCCCTGACTTCTACACACCACGGACTCGTAGCAGCAACGGCTCGGACCCCATGGACGACTGTTCGTCGTGCACCAGCCACTCGAGCTCGGAGCACTACTACCCGGCGCAGATGAACGCCAACTACTCCACGCTGGCCGAGGACTCGCCGTCCAAGGCGCGCGCGCGCCAGCGCCAGCGCCAGCGGGCGGCGGGCGCCCTGGGCGCGGCGAACTCGGGGAGCATGCCCAACCTAGCGGCGCGCGGCGGCGGCCACGGCGTCTACCTGCACAGCCAGAGCCAACCGAGCTCGCAGTACCGCATCAAGGAGTACCCTCTGTACGTGGAGGGCGGCGCCACGCCGGTGGTGGTGCGCAGCCTGGAGAGCGAGCAGGAAGGCCACTACAGCGTCAAGGCGCAGTTCAAGACCTCCAGCTCCTACACGGCCGGCGGCCTCTTCCGGGAGAGCTGGCGTGGCGGCGACGAGGGCGACGCGGGCCGCCTGACGCCTTCGCGCTCGCAGATCCTGCGGACTCCATCCCTGGGCCGCGAAGGCGCCCCCGACAAGGGCGCCGGTCGCGCCGCTGTCTCGGACGAGCTGCGCCAATGGTACCAGCGCTCGAGCGCCTCGCACAAGGAGCACAGCCGCCTGTCGCACACCAGCTCCACCTCCTCGGACAGCGGCTCCCAGTACAGCACCTCCTCCCAGAGCACCTTCGTGGCGCACAGCAGGGTCACCCGGATGCCCCAGATGTGCAAGGCCACGTCAGGTGAGGAGGGACCGGGGACTGAGAGGGCGCGCGACCGGGTGGGCGCGTGCGAGATCATCGGTCAGGATGTGGACCGGTGGAGAGTGCAGGTTTTAGAGCTGGCAGAAAGGAGAGATGGTTAATTCTAGAAACCTAGCTGTGTGATGTGCAAGACCTTCGTTCCCCTCCATTCCCATCCCTTCCATTCTGCCCTTGGTTTTGCCGAAGGAGGAAGACCTGGGAGGGGTTAGGGCGGTGCATCTGACACCCTAGCCCACCCCCAGCGGGCTGTGCAGTCTCCCATTTCAGCTAACTAAGTTCTGGTGCCATTCACCCCTCCAGCCACTTCTTGTAAGGACAGAGATGCGGGAAGTGGTGAAGTCCGTCTTTCCAGGTTTATCCAGTCAAAGGTGTGCCTTTGCCCTGGTGAACAGGTTTGGCGGTAGAGAGTGGAGGGCACCCTTGCAGAGGAGAGCTCCCTCCAGGCGATGCTTGGTCCTGAGGCCCTGAGATTTGGCAGACTGGCTGCAGAAAGAAGTGGCAGTTCTGCCTGAGTTCCCCAGTGACTTCAGGGAACTCCTGACTGCACCTCAGCATCCCTTTCCAGTGATGTTATGATCTGACCAGGGTAATTTTTGTCAAGTGCTTCTGAGGTCCTGGAGTTACACCTTCACAGTTTCATTGTCAGATGAAAGGTTACCTTGTATTCTTGTACTTGGGCATTAAGCAGTACTGAATCCAGTGAAAAAAATGGAAGAAAGCAGCTCCCCCTTCAGTTACACTCCCTTACCTTCTCCAGCTCCAAGAAAGAAGAAGGGTAATAACCAGGATGTGTCCTGCCTTCGCCACGTCCCTGAGGGGTTCTCAGCACCTGCACTCATGAGGCTTGTGTAGGTTATCTGTTTCCACAAAGAGAGGGGATTGTAGCGGTAAGAGCACCTTTCTAGTTGGTGGACGGGTGCTACCCATTCACGAATCGCCTGATGGCGCCAATCTGAAAAAGAGAGCAACTGCATTCCCCTGGCTGTAGGAAAGAAAACGGGGGAGGACTGTGAGACATAATAAAAATGATTCTCAAAGTATAAATGAGCAGTGAAGGGAAGAAAGTCCAAGTCAGGATTTGACTTGGGGCTGGAAATTAGGATAAGTAAGGGCACAAACCCAGGGAAAGGGGAGTGATCTTAAGGAAGGAAAATGAGGGGCCCCTCTTTAGGGGACTGAAGGAGATGCTTGGGGCTTAGGGAGGGCAGGGCAAAGAGGAAGGCCCAGCCAGCTCCCAGCTACACCAGGCCACGGGGCTCCTCCGTCCTCTCCCCAGTGCCCCGCTGACTCATGTATTAAGATTCATCGGCTGAATGACAAGTTTCAGGGACAGGAATAAATACGGTTCAAGTCCATGGTGAGAGAACCATGGACTCCCAACATCCTAAAAGCTTCTTCAGATGCGTCCGTCATCTGTCAAGTCAGCCCAGCCCAAATGTCACCCAGGTGACATTTGCCATCAATTTCCTAGGAGGATTTTGAGAATAACTGCATGAATAAGTTATGCATAGTGTTTAAAGAGCGTGTTTCCCTGTGACCCTATTAGGAGAAGCCTTGGTTGTTCAGGGCAGGAGTGTTTAGATTCTGTCAGAATTGTAGTGCTTATCTAGATTTGCTTTACCTGAACAGATTAAAACATATTTTAAACTAAAAATTCTAGGAAGCTGTATCTGACCTTTCCTGATGAAAAAGATTGCATTCCCAAGGAGGCAAAGGGATGCATTTAAGTAGGATTTGCTTCCTAGTGAGTTTTCCCAACTAAAAAAATTCCTGTTCCCATCAATAAGTTCCTAGTAGTCAGACTTGGATGAGCTCTGAAAAGTCCTGCCCCATTTGACGTGTCCTAAACATGGTAAATGACAAGCCTGAAACAGCAGAGACCACAAGCTCCGAGAACCTTTCTGGAGGTTCTCTATTCTATGTAATGAAGAACAGTTTTAACCTTGGGGCCACATCTGGAAACTCCCTGCAGCGTATCTCACTGGTGTCTGAAGAAATCAGTCATGCCTGCACTAGGTCAGCCCGGGTCCCCCTCTGAGGACTGTGGGGGCTGTCACCATCCTTGTGGCCACTTCCCAGGGCAAAGCAGGGGACCTGGAATCCCAGGCGAGCTCAACCCAGCATTCTAGAACGGCTCAGGAGAGGAAACGTAATTGGCCAAATGTGGGGAGAGGGGCAGATGTTTTCCCATCAGGACCCTGCTTACGGGTCCTGGGAGCATCTCTGGAAGGAAGCTCCTCCACTCCCCTGGGTCTGACCCATCTTTTCTGCACCACCCACACGCAGCTGCCTTACCTCAAAGCCAGAGAAGCTCAACACCGTCGAGTGAAATCGGAGCGACGCCCCCCAGCAGCCCCCACCACATCCTAAGCTGGCAGACCGGGTGAGTTCCCTTGGCAGACCTCTGATTCTCCCTCCCAGGTTCTCGAACCCTCCTCAGCCTTCTCTGTGGGTTAGAGGATAGCAGGTAGAAGATCCTGGTAACAGAGGGTGTGTCTGCAGAACAATGTCCTGGGAATGATGGACGGCACTGGGAAGCTCCCTCCTCTCCAGAGGCCCCAGGCCCTGCTGGTCACCCCCACCCCTCCCAGTGCGGTCTCTTTATTCAGCTGATTCTCTCTACTGTCTTTCAAAGTTGGTGATAATCCCAAAAATGTGGAGGTGAGTGCACTTCTTTGACCAGATGTCTGTGTTTGGCAGACGTTTTTCAGTTTCTGCACATTTATCTCTAGTGATTTTAAGCCAGGCTTTGCCTTAGTATTTGACAGTAGAACTAAGATTCAGTGCTTGCTGTGTACTCAAAGACCAGAAGCTTCTTCTAACCTGTATCAGCTTATGTAATCCTTACTGCAACGTTGTAAGGGAAGTATCCAGACTTTTTTCTGTTCTATAGATGAGGCTCAGAGAAAGTCAGTGCCTTGCCATCTTACACAGTTGGATGACCCTGGGATTTCAGCCCTGCACTGTTACCCCAAACCAAAGCCTTGTCTTTTTCCACTAAACCAGTGGTTCTTAAAATGCGGTACCCAGACCAGCAGCATAAGCATCACCTGGGGTATTGTTAGAAATGCACAAACATCCCGGCTCCATCGGTGACCCACTGAGTCAGAACCTAAGTCGAGGGTGGAGGGCGCTGGCAGTCAGTGTGGTGACAAGCCCTCCAGGGGATTCTGATGCACTCAAGTTTGATGTCACTGAACCACCCCACGCTGCCTCTTACTCCTCTTGAATTAACAGAGCCTGCAGTCCCAGCTGCGTGTTCTCTGTCCACTCCCACTGCTTGGTTTGTCTGTGGGGCAGCAGCTACCCACTCTGTCCTTATTACACACCTTATGACACTTCCTTACGTACCATCCGCACCCCAGCTCTAGCTCCTGTGGTTAGGCAGCTGCTGCAAGGCTTCGGGCCCAAGAGTTTCAGGAGGACAGATCCGTAAGAGTGACCTTTTGTGTATATGGTACCTCCACTGACTAAGCCATCACCCCAAGTAAGGACTTTCTGATTTCAGGGTGTCTGTCTGGCTCCTCCACATTTTCTGGATCACACCTGGTCTCACCTGCTCCAAATGTATGACTGTCACTTGACTGACCGCAGGCTGTGAAGCTTAGGAGCACCTTTACCTTGGAGTGGATCTGGGTGGCTGCCTATGTTTGACACAGCTACTGAGGACCCGAAACCAATTTGAAACAAAAAATTTTTGGTTGGTCCTTAAACTCTTTTATCAGATTGAGTTATCATTAGTGAAGAATAACTATTCTCTGTGATGTGATAAGAAAATGAGAAGTAGTGCCAAAGCCTGGCGCCTTCTTAACAGAACCAAAGTGATCTTTGAGTCGTGCACGGGGTTGAAAATATCCTATTTGTCACTAACACTTGGGTGCATAGTCAGCTGGGCTTTCCAGTGTATTGATAAGCTACTCATCGTGTCTGTGTCAGTTCCTCTCTTTAACATGACCTCTCTTCTCTTCCTTTTCCTGCTTTCCTTGGTTCAGAGAAGCGACAGAAAACTCGCCCATTATGGATGGGTCCGAGTCTCCAGCCCACCAAAGTACTGATGAATAGAGGTATCGTAAGGGAACGTGTTGTTCTTCCAGCCCTTCCCCTTCCCTGCTCGTGAGCTGGAGGGCTCACATGTGGTGCAGGAGTTGCCTTTGCTCATATGGGTCAAAATCTCCAGGGGGGATCATCTGAGTGGTGTGGAAGCTGTCGTCTTCATGTCCTGTCTGTAGATACGTGTGGGACTCGATCTTTATGTGTCTGTTTCCACATCAGATGTTAGATATTCCCACTGCTCCTTCCCCAGAAAGACCTCAAAGTGTGTGTTAGACCTTCCTGGGCTCTTTGTACATGCAAATACTTGTATAATCTTTTACTAGTTTTAGTAACCAGTGTTTGTTGAAAAGAACAGCATCATGCAGTTTACATCTCGAAGCGCCAGGGGCAGACGGAGTTGGTCTAGAAGCATCTATCACCCATGATTTCCTCCCAGTGTTTTTGAGTGACAGCTGTCCACTGTACCAAATGCTGTGTATTCCAGCATGGGGTCCACAGACAAGCCTTGTCCCCTGTGTCACCCAGGAGTTTGTTAGAAGGTACTCTTGGACCTACGGAATTCGAACCTGCATTTTAACAGGACCCCTGGGTGAATCACGTGCATGTTGGAATTTGCAAAGCCCTGCTTCAGTGGGCATAAAAATGTAAACATCGGTCTGGTTCCTATTCTTAAGGGGTGACAAAGTATTGAAATTAATAGCATTTCAAGGGTTAACTGAGAAGCTAATGATACAGTTTCTTTCAAAGCCACTTCCGAATGATAAGTTTACTCAATCAAAAGATGGCAGTGCTAACTCTTGTAGCATTTATGTATTCAATACTCTGAGATGTGGGGAGAGGAATCTCTTCTGGTTTCTAGAGATGCTGTGTGAACTTGGCTTCAAACGCCCAAGGTGGGAGCAGGGTCTCTGACAGGCAGAGGCTGAAGAACGCCCTTCCAAAGGCGAAAGCACAGATGAAGAAACAAGCAGGGGTGTGTGGGGGAACAAGACAGTGCCTTCTTGCTGTAGAGAAAGAGCTAGACCTTCTGAAAAGGAGGGTGGGACAAATCCTCAACAGAAGGAGAGATGAAGAACAACTTTTGTTGCAGATGCCCTGAGCTGATAGATGGGGGAATTTGGAAAATGGGCTTAGCCTTTGCAAGGAGAGTAGTGTTAAAAAACAAAATTCAACTGAGTAAATCTGAAAGATCCTACTGGCTTTATTTCAGTGATTTGTGACTCAAGGAGCTTCCAGTCCAGCAGAAAGCAAGGAGCTCCGAGATGCTGCACAAAAGCAGGGACGTGCAGGCAGGAGGCAGCAGGCAGGCACAGGCAGTTACACCAGCTGAAGAGGCAGGTGGAGACGGCCCAGCTGCTTTCCTTTAGCGGACGGCAGGCGTCTGGCAGGTGATGTCCTCATCGTGCAGATTGGGGGATTCCATTCCTGGGGGAGCTGAAACTGTAAAGTCAAGTCTCAGTTTGATGACGTGGAGCTTAGCCTATACAACTGCATTTTGGGTCTGTTGTTTTTAACAGTTCCCCCCTTTTCATCAGTGATCCAAATGTAAGGCAGCAGGGCTACCCCCAGCTATGGCTCTGGAGTTCTTACCGGCTTTTCATTGAATCTCTGTGTGGTCTTCACAGGCCATGACATAGGGTTCACTGACATTCTGTCAGTCAGTCATTCTGTTCCTTTTCTGATGTTCTGTTTGAGGGAGAGCATGTGCTTGGTTGCCTGTGGCTGCAAAGCTGTATTTAAAGCTTTTGAGAGAACACAGCACCCTCTGGTAACTAATCTTGTAAACAGAATGACCCCCAAAGACAGACTGTGTTGGTTGGGCTGCTGGCCTAAGAAAGTGCTGGGCTTGTTCAGTAATCTTCTGTGGCTGAGTCTCACCTTCCCCCGAAGTGTTGATCCAGGTGCAGGGGTGTGGGTCACAGCTCAGACACCTCCTTGCTCGGCTAGAGGCTGTCAGAGGCTTGTCTCATCAGGAACAACTCTGGTCAGTCTAGGGATGTTTTTATTGGGCAGCTGTTGCTTTACCAGCAGGGTCTGCAGTATCTTCAAGAGGTAAGGAGAGACTGCAGATCATGGCCTCCTTTGCTTCAGCTCTTGGCCAGGGGAGGAGGGATCTGCCAAAGAAAGCAGATTTTGAAATCTCTGACTCCTGCCTGGGAATTTGTGTTGAACCTGTGGCTAGGGACTTGGAAGCTGACAGCCCTGGAAGCCAGTAAAAGGGAAGGGTTTGTAGATAGCACAGGTGGTTTTATTCTGGTCTCCCTTGCCTTATGTCCCTTTCTCTGTACACAGCCTGGATGCAAGGTTCCCTGGGTCGATAACCAGAGACAAGAAAGCAGACCCCCAGGGTTAAGGAGTGGGACACACTAGAGATGGGGGCTGGCTGAGCTTCGATCCAGAGAAACTGAGGCCCTGGAAATCAGGGAGAAGCTGTAATGGATTGGCAGAAGTACTTAATCACCAGCATCGTAGTGTTAATCATTCAAACAGTTGTCTGGAGGTTGGATTTGTCCTCCTTTGCAGTGGTCTGAGACGTGGGGACAATGGCACTCTCTCTCCAAAGCAGAAGGATGGACAGAAGAATCATAGAAAACCTTCACAGGCTCAGAGTTAGGAAAAGGATGGTCAGAGAGGGAAGGAGGAATGGAAAGAAAGGTCCTTGATCTGACATTTTGGGAGGAAGCAGTCTTACCTCTGCGGTGGCCACTTCTCTCCCTAGTCAGTTTGGTTTGAGATTGCCAGCTTTTGTGCAGGAGGGACCAGAAGGTAGGTGGAGCCTTCATCCGTTGTGACGTCTCTACCCAAGGTTTAATCCTTGTGATTGGGCAGCCATGTGGCCATCAAGAGCTCGTGGTAGGTTACTTTCCATGAATCTCCCTTCTGAGAAAGCATTAGGATAAAAAATCTGTCTGTAAATAATAACTTAAAAATGCCCATTGGTAAAGATCTGGTGAGAGTTCATCATAATGAAATTGACAAGGAAATGTAATTTCTGTGATATGCAACATTTTTTTTTAACTTTTTATCTTATACTGGGGTACAGCCAATTAATGTTGTGATAGTTTCAGGTGGACCGTGCAGAGACTCAGCCGTACACATACTACATGTATCTATCCTCCCCCAAGCCCCTCCCAGCCAGGCTGCCACGTAACATTGAGCAAAGTTCCTTGTGCTATACAGTAGGTCCTTGCTGATCATCCATTTTAAATGTGGCATTGTGTACATGTCCATCCCAAACTCCCTATCTATCCCATCCCCTTGGCGACCATGAGATCATTCTCTGAGTCTGTTTCTGTTTTCTAAGTAAGTTCATTTGTTACCATTTCGTCTTAGGTTCCACACACACTGGATGTCACAGGATGTTTCTCCTTCTCTGTCTGGCTTACTTCCCTCAGTGTGACTCCCTCTAGATCCATCCATGTTGCTGCAGATGGCACTATTTCATTATTTTTAATGGCAGAGTAAAAGCCCATTGTGTACATGTACCACATCTTTATCCATTCCCCTGCTGATAGACATTTAGGGTGCTTCCTTGTCTTGGCTATTATAAACAGTGTTACAGTGAACACTGGAGTGCATGTGGCCTTACAGATGTTTTTCTCCAGATATGTGATAGACAACATTTTAAGATAAACAGAATTATGATTGATAACATTACACCAAGATAGATTTCTGGAAATTTCACACAATTTCTAACGTACTTAATTATATTAATAACATGCATCCATACAAATTACCCAAAAAGGTTTATCATCAGTTAGTTGACAATGTGTCCCGTGAACCTGAACAATAAAACTAATTAGTATAACATCTTTCATAAGGTAAGAGACAGATCCTTTGAAGTCTGATTTAAGAAAGCATAAGGAAATGGGTACGACAGTACTACAGTTGACAAGATGTGTGTGTCAACTTGGGCAAGTTGAGTTCTAATCAGAGAAAGGTAAAAAGAGGCACCGGGAAGCTTGGCTGCAAAAGTTTTAACTCTGTAGCTGACATAGAGGGGACTTCAGGTGGTGTGTATGATAGCACTAATGATAGGGGAAATCAGGTTAAAGGCAGACCAGGAAGTCGTCAACATCATGGACAGACTGGAGTTTTAAATGGCAGATCCAGAGTCTGAAAGGTATCTTCCCTGGGCAGTCAGTCCCTGGGAGACACAGGCAAGGCATTACCCCTCCAGATCAGGGCCAACAGGAGAGAAATCAAGTAAGTGGAGGAGTTTGGTTAACGCGTTATTGACCAGGGGAGTTTTGCAGAAACTAATGCTTGCGCTCGTGATGTGGCTGGCCAAAAATTGTTGTTTCACTAACACTTTGTGGGTTATTACATTCAATAGTTACATTTGACACACCTGTAAAGTGCTCTCATTTTCATGAAGTGTTGTCTTCCATCCACTCGTCTGTAGGAGCAAAGGCGCATTCTCCAGCACTGTGTGAGTTTCATGTCCACTTTCTTTATCAGAATCACTCACTGAGGTTTTTTGTCTCCTTGTTGGTCTAATTAAATGTCTCTGAATCAGAACTATATTCTGAAGAACTACCATCTTCCAAGACACTAGTATATATGTCACTTGGACAATCAGAGGAAATACTTGCATAAAATTCCTCACTGAATTTTATGAAATTCTGAAATTCTTCACTCAAAATTTCACAATGTGTCATTTTTGAAAATGTTACGCTTATAATACACACAAGGTTGGAACAGAAACCTAACAGAGCAAAATGTGATAATGACAATCACAAGTTGTATAATGAACCCTTGATCAATTTTAAGCTGTAACAATTTCTCACAGTAATATTGTGTCACCCTCTAAAAATGTATTGATACATCTCTGGTCAATAATGTGTTAATAACCCCCCTCCCTCATGAATTTCATAGTAAAGGAGAACAGTGGTAGAAATCAAGTTAGATTACGCAGGCCCGGCCCGGCGTCTGGGGACCGCTGTCCACATCATCTGCTTCTGCTGCCGGAGAGCCCGAGGGTGAGACTGCAGATGGCTCTGCTGTCCACTCAGGTCCTGCAACTCCTTGCAGGTGGGACGGAGCTTCTCAGACTTAGCTGTGCGGGGACTGGTGAGCAGTACCAGAAAAGGTCATTTCCCAGGAGGGGAGCAGGAGTCCTCCAGCTGCTGTCTTTTTCAGTGGACATATTCTCCAGGAAGTAGTGGACGAGTGCTATCAGTGGCAGGTTGTAATCTCGTTCAGCGTAAGTTTCTTCAACCTGAGGAGGAATTGACAATAGATGACCAGCTAGTTTTTGATGGGTTCTGTTGGGCAACATGAGGGTCAGAGTGTGGCAAATGAGGCAGAGGGAGTGAGCGTCTGTTTTTCAAAGGCGGGGACCTTAGATTCAGAAGGCCCAGTGACAGCACCTTGGTCACCTCCTCGCTGGGTTTTTCATGAGGTCATCAGTCTTCTGTCCTGTCCTGAAGGCAGCCTAAGCAGGGACTCTGCGGAGTTCTTAGGTGGCCAGCCAGTGAAGTGAGCTCTCAGTCACTGTGCAGAAATGATGGGGCTGTCCCATACAGGGAGGTTATTTTGAAGTCAGTTCTTTGCTACAAAAGAGGCAGCTGCTTATCAACAAAAAAATGCTTCTACCCAGCGAGAAACATACAGCTCCTTACCAATAGTATTTGTTCACTTGTTCACTCGTTGACAGTTATGTTTAATTAGAAAATTTTTCTAGCCATTAAATAGCTAGCCAATGTCTTTTTATGGACACATTTTGTAACCGAGATGACATGAACTTATTTGACTAGTAAACACAGGTAGAATCAGATTATGTCTGCATTATGTCAATATTTAACACACCTACTTTGATCAGACCAACAAACTTAAGATAGCTCTTGATTTATCCCAGATCATGTGAATTTGAAAAATATTTGGGTTAAGTTTCTGTATTTCTGAGTTTTAGAATACTTAATTTGATAATCATTTTTCTTTAAGCCAATTAGATGCATTTTTTACAAACTGATTATACAGTACCAGTCAGAGGCAGAAACACATTACAAACCTACCGTGTACATACGCAAACATACAGACAGATGCAGAGGTCGGGAAGCTTTGGTCTTAAAGTTTTGGCCATGAGACAGGTACAGTAAAGCAGAACTTACTAGTTTATAGAAGAACTGTTTTATCCAAATCCTGTTTCTGGACACTGGAGTAAGTTAAAGTTACTTGATCAAAATGGGAGTTCCCTCAAGGACTTTTCTTTCTTAGATTCAGATCTTTTACAGTGTCTGCAAGCCTTCTGAAGTGAATGGAGTATGCTTGGGGACTGAGAAAAAGAATAGGTGGCCTTTGATTTGCTTCTAAACCTGCATTTCTATTCTTGTAAAGACTAGGTTTATAAGACAAGGACAGGTTACAATGTGAATGACATCACAGGCTGTCCCACGCCTCCAACTATATCATCTTCTGTTTGCTTCTTTAGATCAGGGAGAAGATTGACTAAGATGGAATTCAAAAGATTCCTATGCTCCAGATTTAGAGCTTTGTCTTTGGAATGTTTTTCTTTCCCTCTGGGTACACAGTTTCATTTTGACTTAGGAACTTTATCCCCAATAGGCTCTGAATATCAGCTTCCAGTTTGGCCAACTTCTGACCACAGAGCCACTTAAACAACCTTTTAAATATCTTGTCAGGAGGACAAACAGTAAATATTCCTGGCCATATTGAAAGACCTCACGGACGCAAGACACATTCCCAAAGAGGGTGCCAAGGATACCACCCTCCCAGATCCAGAGCCACTCCCATAACCAAAAGGGAAGACTCAGTTCTCCCTGAGGGCTGGCACCCATCAGGCAGGACCTCAGCTACAAACGGGTGCAATTTACATTTCTGTGCTGTTTGCCCAACCTGACGTTCACCAAGTTCTCAGGACACAAAACAAGACAGACAAGAAGGCAACAATAGCCCCTGAGAGAGAAAAGATCAACCAGTGTGTCTGGATTTGGAAAGGAAGGGATGTGAAAGTTTGCCTTTCTCTCTCAGCTGGCCATGGTAGGCAGATTCAGAACTGCCTCTGGTCAGAATGCTCACCCTGGCTGGGGTCTGCTGGACTGACCAGGATCCCATCTGCAGGCTCTGTAACAAGCTGGGGTTTAGAGAATGCAGCTTCACTAGCTACCGAGATTCAGCAAGGTTTTCCATTAATTTTTTTATTCGTTTCCCCTTGGCTGTGGAAGGGAACAACTGGAAGCAGTTACAGGAGAATCCCATGGAGTCCTTTTGACCCTGGGAGAGCCCAGGGCAGGAGGGCGAGGGGTGTCCTCCTCTGGGGATGGATTTAGGGGTGTCTGTACAACCACTAACTTGACAGGCCTTTTGTTAGTCATGCAGTCTCTTCAAAGTGGAGAGACGATGCAGACAGAGGACAAGCAGAATGAATCCAGGACAGGGGAGCAGGAAGAGTTCAAGTTTTACCCTTATTTTAGGTATCTCTTGTGTCTTTAAGTTTTTTATTAGCCTTTTGCAGTGAGTCTCAGTGAAGCTATTAGGGAATTTTGAAGCCTTCTGCAAGCTTCATCATACTGACTAAACTAGGCATCCCACTCCATTTGTTTGATGTGGACTTCTGAAGTGAACAATCTTGTGTAACGGGAACATTCCTTCTGGTGGCCACCGTTATTCTAGTTTGTCTTCAGTAAGAGCAGTCCATGTGCAAGTGAAGAGACCACAATGTTTTTTAACATAAAACTGCTGGGGGTAGTTCCTAAGGTGGTGGTGGGGGGGGGGGGGCACTCTTAAAACCTTTAGGTGACTGGGATCCCATTTGTGGAGTTTTTCCTAGAGCAGAGAAAATCCTCGACAGCCTCAGGGCTGAACTGAGGGCCAGGACTCGGGTCTGACAGTCTGCCTCTCACAGGATACTTCCTTTTCCTGGTGGACGGCCAGTGCCCTGTATGTCAAGACCTCCAACCAGGGCTTCCTCATTACACTCAATTTTCTTGCAGGTGGCCAGTGACCTTGTGCCCCTTCTGGGCCATGACCACGTTTTCCTACCTGGGAGCCTGGGCTCTGGAGATGGTTGTCTCTCATCAGGTGCTCGACCCATGCCCTCCAATTTTTGTTTTAATTTTGCTCTCAGGAAAACTACATGTTTAAATGTAAACCAAGTGCACTCTAATTCAGAAACTAATAAAGTACTCACCAGAAGGACAATCTGTCTTTGTCCAAATCCGGAATAAAGCTGGAGAGAACTCAAAACAGGAATCTTGGACTGTGAAGTCCTCTTGGGATCCCAACACTGTCACCGCTGTTAAAAAAAAAAAAATCTTGTTGGCTTCGTTCATTTAAGCTGCAACCCAGTTCCTTGTGGAATTAGAAACAGTCCTGTCTTACAAACCTAGTCTCTACAAGAACAGAAATGCAGTTCTAGAAGCCATTCAAAGCAAACCCTCTTCATCTCAAAAGGGGGGATGTGCAGACATTGTAAAAGACCTGGATTTAGGGAAGGAAAGTCCTTCTTGGAGGAACTCCCATTCTTTTCCGGTGCCTTTGAGATGGGGATGTTCCACCTGGTCTCCTCCAGGAACTCTAACCCAGGCCAGCTCTTAGAAACTTCAGGGAAGAGGAAGTAGACAGCCTGGACTGAGAAAGCCATTTGTCCACACTCAGTCACTTGCCCATCTCTGACCAGTGACTGGGGTTAGAGGACTCCACTGGTCCCCCTGGGCCACTTGACTACCCTCAGTGAGGGTGGGGGGACACACTGGTAGCAAATACCACCAGGTCAACACAGAGAGAGAGATTGCCCCCCCCCCAGTAAACAGCATATGTCCACATGGGGTCCAACCACCTCCTGCCACGGAAAGTCTCTCTGTCCCTCAGGCATAATGGGAAGGTCAGTTGTGTCAGGAGGAGAGTGTGCAGGGTGGGTGTGATGGAGTCAGCCACTTATCACCTGAAGACAGTGATGATGGCCATGGCCAGTTACAGAATTGAGGACCTTGATGTCACTTTGCTTCTGAAGCCACCTTTCAGCATATTAACCCCAGCATACATTTCAGGGGATCCAGGCACAGGACTCTCTTTAAAGGCTACAGTATGCTCCCAGAGCCTTGGGTCTTGCCGCGTTGATGGATTTTTTAAAAAAGCCAGATGAGAAACGTTCACAAAATCCAGAATGCCTTCATTGCCTTGTTCCTATAAAAATGACAACAAATCAAACAGAAAAATGGTGATAATGGCTTATTCTCAGTCATAAACTGGGACAAGACGTTGTGTGTAAGATGCTCTTAAACCCACTGTTGTCTGCATCTCCTCCTGCCCCAGCACTGGTCATGGAAAGAGTCAGCAGCAGGCAAGGGGACAGATCCCCTTCTGACATTTATTCTGTTTCCAGACAGGTGTTTCTACCCCCAGCAGCATGCGCTCTGGGAGGTCAAACTCAAAAATTCCAGCCTGAACAGCACCCAGATCTACTAACTGAGACGCACCGACCAGTGTCACTCACAGGAATGTTACTCAGAACTGAAGGCTGAGGTTAGAGGCCTGCAGGTTTGGAATCAGCACAAGTGAACTCTCTGGAGTTACTAGGAGAAGCTCAGCACAAAGGAAGAACACACGAGGTGGCCCAGGCCATGCTGCCCACGGCTGCTTCCGCACAAGGCGCGGAGGTCAGCCGTCCCCATGTCGGGGCCTGCGGGCAGGACAGGGAGAGGAGGGCAGGAACCCTCTCCTCAGGGGACATGGCTGCTTTTTTGAACCAGCCTCTGGGAGCCTCCTGGGCAAATTCAGGCCTATGTTCACTGAGATGAGGTGTGATCTTCATCTTGCCCCGGAAGAGCTAGCTCAGGATGAGTGCAGAGGGACTGTTTTTCCAAGGAATGGTGCCGAGTAATGATTCTGGGTTTTGACATAGCCCTGTGATGGCCTCTTGATACATAACAACTACAGCTGATCCTGAACACCACAGGCGTGAACTGCACAGGTCCACTTATACTCAGATATTTTTTCCAGTAAATACACAGTCAGCCAGCCCTCCATATCTGCTGAGGAGGAACTGCAGATATGAAGGGCTCACCGTTCTTACGCCAGGGACTGAAGCAGCTTTGGACTTTGGCATCCAGGAGGCTCCTGGACCCAATCCCCTCCACATACCCACGGATGACCATACCTCCACCCAACCTACATCATGACACACACCTGAAAATCTTCTTTAACGTCCTTTCTATACACTTTCCTATATATTTTCAATACTTTTTTGATTGTCACACAATACATGTTATCCAGTAAACAGCATTTAAGACTCCATTCAAAAATATCACCTCAGTTTCACTACATGGAAACCTGCCACTTCGAATGTGCTTCCAGGACAGAATAAAAATCTAGTAAACTTAGTTATGCCTGGGGTCTGAGGGAGGACGAACCAAGCAACTATTCCGAGAAGAAAAGAATCCTAAGGACTCCAGCCAGAGGGGTTCTAGGCCTTGGCTGCAAGGAGAGTCAGTCACCTGGGGGCTTTGAAAGCGCCTGACACACAAGCACACCCCAGACCATTAAGCTAGCCGGGCCCTGACAGGAGTGTTTGGAAGGTTCCCGGGGGACTCCCACGTGCACCTGAGCGTGAGGACTGCTGCTCCCTCTCCCTCCACAGATGGTCAAGGATGTTTCCAGTCCCCGAGAGTCTGCTGTACACAGCAATGTCCCAGGCCCTGTGAACACATCCTTCTGAATGCAGGCTGCGAAGTGTCATTCCCCACTAATGGTCTCCTCTCCTCCTTGGGTCCCTGCAGGAGCTACGGTGACAGCTGTTTCCTGGACTCTTCCCTCTATCCAGAACTAGCTGATGTCCAGTGGTACGGGCAGGAAAAAGCCAAGCCCGGGACCCTTGTATGAGCCCGCCGGCCTCCACCTGACCACCTCGCCGCCATTCTGAGATCACCTCACTGCCTCTCATTTGCCTTACCCAGACGCACTGTCTCCCTGCACCAGCTTCAGCCCTCAGCACTTTTTTTCTCCCATCTCCGCAACCCCTCACCCTCAAAAAACCTGACTGAGGAGACATTCTGGAAGGTTCCGGTCCCACTGTGTGTCCCCTGGCTCCCTTGCCCAGAGAGCCAGGCACCAGTCCTCAATGGCATCTTGGTGCCCCCCTCCCCTCCATGACAGCCCCTGGGCCAGGAACCGGCAGGGAAGCTGGTTGGCATGGATTCCTGTGGACCAGTGGCACTGGGGAGGCCAGGGAAGGGACTTAGTACAGGGTGATCCAGAAAGACTAGGAAAGCGGAGGCCCACCCGCCACCTGAAGGCCATCCACGCATGTTGTGAAGAGGCTGCCTCAGGGAATATTCAGCTGAAATATTTCCTAGGAGGAGTGGCTATTGGGGGAAGGGGAGAACGGAAACAGGAAGCTGAACACGTCAGAGATGCATCTGAGGATCACAATCAGTTCTACGCTGCCAAAGATTTTAAAACACACACACACACACACAAAATAAAGAGGGCCCAAGAGGAAGACATTCCTTCTGCAATGAAATCTCTTAAATCCTCAACTGCAACCACATCCCACACGTGGAAGTCGACCATCTGTGACGTGTCCCCCTCTGTAACCCTTCCCTGGACATTCACCTCCCTCTCCCGAGAGCCTAAAAACTCACCCAAGGTGATGGGCAAGTCGGACAGCCCCAGCTAGCATTGCTGACTTGGATCTCTGGACGTGAAGGAGAACAGCCTCATGGCGGGCAACAGAGAGTTCGCTCAGCCCCAGCCTGCATGGGGGTTCAGTCCGACACAGAGCTGCTTTCCTCTGGGGATCTGTAGGAAGCGTAAGGTGATGGTTGCCAAAAGTGGTTCTCTCTCATTAAAACAACCAGTAAAAGCATATCCTATTTTTTCGCACAAGGTGTTTCATTTGATTTTTTACGGGAAGCCAAGGGAAAAAAGCACATTACAATCCATTAAAGTATTTACTTGTCACGGCCCATTTTCTGTTTGTTAGCACTTGTGTGACAAAGAGCTCAGATCCGACGTCTCTCAGCACCCGGTGACCAATGTGTCACTTCTTCCAAGAACCCAACTACACCCTTAGATAGGAAGACTGTACTCACGTGTCTACCAGCTGGCAGGCAGAGCAGGGTTGAAAAAATATATCAGCTCCCAGAGGGCCCAGATGCCTGTGACACCATCAGCTACCTTGCTGTATCACGTTGGTCTGCAGGTACCAAAAAAAGAAGAAAACAGGTGTGTGGGAGCTGCCCGTTTACATGTGTGTTGAGCTATGCTCAATACACAACTGGAAAGCCATCCGTTTCTTCAAAGGCCTCAAAATACTTTTCTAATACTAACAAGTGCACACTCTGAGTTGGCTTGTTTCAAATGGCACAAACACGGTCTCCACAGAGATGGGACGCTGTGCTTACCTGGCGCAAGTAGGGGGAGGTGCGGGGGGGATTAATTTTTTTCGCACTTATGACTCTTCCTATTGGAAAGGCAGTGGACAGCCAGATAGGAGCTGGGTTGGCTATAGATTTGTGGGTAAGCAGAACTGAAGCTAGCTTTAGCGTAAAAAGAAAAGTCTTTTTTTTTTTTTTAATGTATATGTAATCCAAGAATAACTAGACTTTACCAGACCAGGAGGGTAGGCATGGATACTTACCAGTGGTTAAAAAGCAACAGCCACGGTTTCCCCCACTGCAGGGTGTTTCCCCCACTGCAGCTCAGAAAGCACTGTGGGACTCCTCTGGGGCACGGAGCAGGATGGGGCCAGTTGGGACGGTTCAGGGCCTGGCTCCCTGGCTGCGTTGGTGATACCAGCTTGCAGAAGGGAGTAATATTCACAGAACACTCTGGGGGTAGACCCTGCAGGGTAAATAAAATTGATGATAATGTTATTAAAGGATTCTGGGGATTGACATGGGGGGGGAGGGGTGTTGCTCTTACTTTGACAGTCAAGAGTTAACAAACAGCAAGTTTTTTCCCTTCCCATTTGGAAATAAGTCTCTATGAGGCCAGATTCTTTCTCCCAAAAGAAGATGCACAAATAATCAAACTGAACTCTGTGCCAGAGTTAAAAGGGAACTAGAGGAGGTCACAAGCTTATATGGCTACAGGGCATACAACATGGACAGTAGTTTGAAATCAAGTTGGAAGTCAGCTCGATCAAGTTTTTAGCCCAGTTGGGTTACAAGGAATGACAGACAAAAATTCTGTCTCAACACGTGGGTTTGGGATTCAGGAGACAGAAAGGAGTGGAGGTGGGGGAGGGGGGTGGAATTACAGTTCAGACAAACATCCTGATAGTCTGGTAGCAAAGACGGAGATTAAGTAAAACAGGTTTTACTGTTGAGCTGCATTCATGTTCCTACAAGATGTACATAAAGTGTTGGTCCTGTGAGACTGACATGATTAATGGTCCATGTGGTGGGAAGTGATATAGTTACTGTATACAGCACTGGCAAGCTCTTTGTATTTCCCTGTTTCTTTAAAGCATCTTAAATACGAAACCCTGGTCTGATAGAAAGTCCCCATTGGATTCCTTGGATACGTGTAAGAAACTGCCTGTTTAGCCAGAAGGCTGGTGAAAACACCTCCATCAGACTTTGTTGTGAGACAGGTGGGTTTTTTAATTTTCTTATATGCAGGTGAGTGTCGAAACTGTTCAAATTCCACTTTGTTTTCATTCAGTATTAGTTTAGTTCATAGAGCAAACCCCATCCAGGTGCTATCAGATGACCAGTTACTGCTTAATTAACTAGGTGTAAAGTTTTACATATACATTCATGTCAATAGTTTATTACAAGTTGTGTAAAATGGACTCTAGTTTAATAATGGGGAGGAAAGGATTAGGTTGCTCCTGAAACTGACTTGTAGAGCATGTAAGATGATTTTACTGGATTCTGTTCAACTGTAATCAATGACAAAGATGTATGTTGTAGACAAAGTTGCAGAATTAAAAAGAAATCTGCTTTTAATTTATTCTTTTTGTATTAAGAATTTGTATAGTACCTTTACATTTTGCAAAACAGTGTTGTCAACACTTATTAAAGCATTTTCAAAATGAAAAGATCCTAGCTGCCTCTTGGACATTCTGTTTGTGTCTAACTGATCAATGCCTACGCACGCTTCGGGGAGCTTTAATTCGGTTGCCTATGTCCTCGTCGGGCTCCTTTTTCTGACAGGCCAACTGAGGAGACAGGCAGGCAGCTCAGACTTTCCTACCACTGCTGTTCATCGTACCACGGCTCAGACTCCATCCCCCACCTTCCAAATCCTGTCACCAAAGCAACAGCCCGCTGGGCCCGCAGGCACAAAGCCGTGCCCTGAGGGACACAGCCTTTGCTGCCATGGCACCCCCCCCCCCGGCCCCCTAACCCACACTGCACCTCCTCGCTAGCACAGGACTAGAAATCTGACAGGCACGAGCACCCCAGGATGGAGAGCCCGGCTGAAGCATCTGCCGCCAGTGCGGGCTAACCCTCCCAAAAAGGGAAACAAGCCACTGAGAATGGACTCAAAGCATGTCTGGAAGCGAGCCCATCAGGACAGCATCTTACACCGAAGCCTGTCTGTCCTTGGCAAAGCTACCAGGGCCTCCTCTCAAAAGATAATCAACACTGACTTCAAACAAATAGGATCTTCTGTTAATAAGTCTTTTACATGTAAACATGTTGCTGCTCAGGAAATAAATCTACTGTCTCCTATTAAGCTCTATCACCTGAAAGCAACCAACCCACAGGAAGATGGAACTTCCCCGTTTCTCACACACACACACATACGCACTGCCCTTACGTTGTGACAAGGCAATTCCAAAAAGTCATTATTTTGGTTACTAGAGAACACAAAGTAAATAGCTGGTTCCTGTAGAAAGCATTAAAAATAGCCAGGTCTTATTCCCAAAATACCAGTTCAAACAAGCTCAGACATGAAACTCCTCTAAGAAGAGGAATGTCAGAGAAGCCCTGATGGGGGTCAGCCAGCAGGCAGTGGCCACAGCTGAAGTCAGCCTCTCAGTGCAGGTTCTGCAGTGGTCCCAGGTCCTCTGCATCTAATGGAAGAGGGTAAAATGAGCCCGGTGGATAGGAGGTAAGCGAGTGTGTCAGCGGGATCCCTCCGGGATCTCTCGTTCAAGAGGCTGCCTGGTGAGACAGTACAGACAAGCTGACCGGACAGAGGCACGACCTCTCTGCCTTGCACAGAGCCCCGCTCCCGGCACAGTCAGTATCTGTCCAGGTAAGAGCTGAAGGGCCTGTAGTGCAATTCAGGAGGATGAACCTGCAGTTCAGCAGGTCAGCTGATAAGGCTCACACATGTGCAGTTGTACCAAAATCTTTTTTCATCAGAAACCCACTTACCTCTCCATAAATCTTTATCCCCATAAACAAGTAGTTTCCTTTTTTCACCCATTCATCCTATTTTCCATCAAAGCCTTTCTAATAATGCTTCCCTTCCTCCCACTCTACCAAAACCCCTCAAGGTCAAGGATGACTCCCCACATGACCAGATGCAAGGGTTAATTCTCTGTTCACGTGTTAGGTGACTCACCAGCAGCATTGGGCATGGCTGACCCCTCCGGCTTCCTTCATGGAAAGACTCCTGTCACTTGAACCCAGGACAGGACATCCTCTGGTTTTTCCTCCTTATCACGGTCAGGGCTCCTCCTGCCCAGCTCCTTGATGTTTACTCCGTCTCCCCGAGGTCTACGCACTAGAGTGTCCCAGAGCTCAGATCAAGCTTTACCATGCAGTCACTTCCCGTAGTTCTCATCATGTCCATGGTTTAACATGTCATCTGTGTGCTAAGGACACCTGTACTACTCACTGGACCTCCTCTCTGAACCTTGTATATCCTGCAGCCCACTCAACAGCTCCACACGAATGTCTAATGTGCTAACACGTCTAGAAGCAAATTTCTGAGCTGCCCTCCAAATCCACTCCATCAGTGACCTCGCTCAGTCGAGTTAGAGGCACCTCCAGTCTCCCAGCACTCAGACCCAAATCCTTGGACTCACCCATGAGGACCTCCTGTCCTTGTCGCATCTGCAGCCAACCAAGTGGATGTGAAATCCCTGCCCTTGTTCTCGAGGGTGGAGGGAGATAGATAATAAATTATATAACACATTAGAAGGCTGGAAGAAAGTAATGTTGGTCAGTGGAAGATTCAGCCTATGACAGATGGGGATCCACCTTTCCTCCAAGTAAGGTACGGAGAGCTGGTGAGTGTGGAGGCAGCGGCAGACCTTAGGCCTGCATCCGTCTGTGAGGGAAACTGGGGGGGGGCCACCTTCCAGGTGACAAGGGAAGGACGAGGATCGGGAAGCAGCAGTCATGGGGGAGAACAGCCCTGAGAGGAGAGGAAGCAGGGTGCGAGTGCCCGCGGACTCTGGACACAGGATGGGACTCCCCTCCAGCGGCACCGCTGGGGGCTGGGGCTGTCGGGATGAGCCAGGCCCGGGTGGTGTGGGGCCGTGCGACCAGAGGACAACAGGCGGAGAGAGAAGACGGCCCTGGTGAGAAACTGGAGTGATGATGATGGACTCCAGATGGATTACAGAGAAGAGCAAAGCCAGGAAGATGCCAAGGAAGCAGAAGGAAGCAGAGAAACGAATGAAGAGAAGGTGTTGGAGAGACTGAGGGAGGGCAGAGAGGGAGTTAAAGGGAGGGCAAGAGGACAGGACTTCACGGCCAGACGGGAGGGAAAACGCCAGTTTCCCCGGCATCTGGGTTCTCCACGCTTGGGGTCGGCCCCACGATCCGGGAGCAAAGTCCACGTGTGCAGGAGGGAAGCCACCCTGAGCTGCAGGCGGGGGGAAGGGGGCCCACCACACCTCCCCTCAAATCTGGCTGCCTGCTCAATCCGGGGGCCGAGCACATCAATTATTTTAACAGAAAGGGTGTAACGGAAAGGACTGTTAACCAGAGAGTGAAGAGGTGACAGGAAAGGGGGGACCCTGAGGTATCAGAGACGAGAACCACAGGAAGAGCCACTGGTCTCAGGGCTGGAAACAGAGACTAGGGACACTGAAGAAAGACTTAGAGGTTTGAGGAGCTGGGAACCAAACCTCTGAGGCCTGGACGCTGCTTAGGTGGTTCGGGTGCCTTGGGAACTTGGCGGGACCCCACAGAGCCAGGATTCAAATGTCCGGGGAGAAGCACTGGCTGATGCTGCTGCGACGGTTCTACAAAAGCATGGAAAACCTGAGAGTGGGGACCACCGCCTCCAGGAACGCTGAGTGTCACCGTGGGCTGCAGGCCTGCGGCTGGGCCACCACCACGGGGGACAGGTAGTGAACACGGAGGAACAGGGCCTGCCTCCCTCCTCGGGGCTCCTGTCTCCCATGTGGCCCATGATCGGTAGAAGCCAACACAAAGCCAGTCGCAGAGGAGAAACGTGGTCTGCAGAGCCTCATCCCAAAGCAGGGTGTGGCAAGTGCCAGGGAGAGGCTGTCAGTCAAAAAGCAATTTTCTATAAAGGACAAAACCATACATACCTTTTTGGCTCAAGTTTGTGTAATTTCAGTTACTGCTCTAGAAGGAATGGTGGTAGTTAGCAAGTCAAAGCATACCAAGACACTTTCTCCCTGAATGACAGAATCACAAGTGTACGTTTTCTCAGGTATCTTTCACACCCACAGAGGTATCCGGAATTTATTCCTCTCAAAGTCACTCCTAAGCCTAGTGGAGATTTGGGAGTAACTCAGAGAGGAACAAAAGCTCGATGCCTCTGTCCCAGAGAGTGACATGAATCTCTACCACAGGTTGACCTCTGTCTGCTCTACAACCTGGCTGTCTATGGACTTCCATTAACACTCACTGGATTCGGGTTTCCTGCAGCTGAAACAACCTGGTGCCAATAACCAGAGAGCTCATTCAGGTGAATGCTGAAATACTTAACATGTATCTTATGAGAATGTGGCAAATATGAAAATCAAGTCTTAATGAAATGGCAATCTAATAGAATTACAAAGTTTAACAATAATATAAAAACACATTATTTCTCTCCTCTCAAATCCCATACACAGGCACTGCGCTATGCAAAGATTATATCATTTAGGATTCACATGATTTTTTATAAAATCTATCTGGCAAAGATAGCTGACAAAGGTTATGTCAATATCTGAGTTAGTGATAAAGATTATTTCCCCTATGCATAGAAATGGAGATGGGAATGGCAACCCACTGCAGTATTCTTGCCTGGTGAATCCCATGGACAGACAAGCCTGGAGGGCTACAGTCCACGGGGTCACACAGAGTCAGACATGACTGAGCTACTAACACCACGCATAGAAAACCTAACATAAAGTCAAGCCACAGAGCATAACGTACATTGAACATAGGGCTCGGCCAGAATATATAAGGACCTATGTTAAGTCAGTAAGAAAAAGGCCAGTAGAATTCAGTAGAAAAAAGTGACAAAAGTAAAATCTTGAACAGAAACTTCACAAAAGTTAAAATCCAAATGGCCATGAAGTACATATGAAAAATGTTCCACTTAATTTTCCTCAGCAAAACACAAACTAAAACCACAACATGGCACCATGTTAACCCGTCAGAAGAGCCGAAGTGAAGATGGCCGAGGACATTCCAGGAGGGGCCTCGACCCCGCAAGTCTCGCATGTGGCACTGTGGACTGGCACGAGCTCTTCGGAAAACTCTGTGGCACTACCTTCTGAGTACACACATACCCAACCATTTCTCAACTTCATATATACCCTGGAGAAATTTATAATTCACCAAAAAACACATGTACAGCATTCATACCCAAAGTGGAGACAACTCAAATGTCTATCAAATGTAGAACAGGACAGAGAAATGAGAATCAAATCACAATGAGGGACTTCCCTGGTGGGCCAGTGGCTAAGAAGCTGCAGGGGGCCTAGGTTCAAAACCCTGTCAGGGAACTAGATCCCACCTGCTGCAACTAAGAAGATCGAAGATCCTCCCTGCCACAGCTAAGACCTGGTGCAGTCAAATAAACAAATAACAACAAGCAAACTAACTCACATGGGGAATGACTGCTAATGGGTCCCAGGTTTCTTTCAGGGTGATAAAAATGTTCTACATTTACATGTGCCGCTGACTGCACAATTCTGAATATTCTAAAGACTACTGTACCCTTTGAGCGGGTGAATCTTACAGTACATGCATCCAATATCAAGAAAGATGTCTTTTTAACTGATGACAGTAGAAATCAAGGCCATGGCTTTGTCCTGATGAGGCATGAAGAGATTTCTGGGGCACTAATAACATTATCTTCCCTGACCTGGATGATAGTTACTTTGAGAGAGTTTCACTCTGAAAAAGTTGTATGATATGGTATCTTTCTGATGTGTGCACTTTGCTGTATATGTTACAATTGAATAAAACTTTACAATGAAGGCAATGTAATCTAGCTGCGAGTCTTGGGAAATAATCTTCGAAGGGCTAAACAAACTCTCAACAGGTAACTGATTAACAAGACTAGATTCCTGCTCTCTCTCTCTGCCTCAACTAACTCATAGTTTAAACAATCTCATATCTTATAATATCTTTGTTTATTCTTGCTTCACACAATGTATAGCCAGCCCAAGGTAGTCATCTATTCTCACCTTCAATTTTCTTACATGAGGCCTGTCCTGGAAGTTCTCTCTTTGCACAAGTCACCTCATTTGAAACCTAAGAATTATTGCTTCAAAAATATTTAATTGAAGTACTCAAGGTTTTATAATATGCCAAATTCCACATAAACCTGGAGAGCTAAGTGTTTTCTATTAAAAAATAAATAAATAGAAGAAATAAAGAGTCCTTTTGCCCTAAATTCATCTACCAGGTTACTTCCTTCTGTAACTCTGATAATTCTTTTTAATTTGTGGTTTTCAAACTGCTGGTCACAACACATTAATGAGTTGTAAGCCACTTTAGAGTCACACCTGCATATTTTTAAAAGAAACACAACAGCAAAGAAAAAATAAGAACGCACTGCTCACAGCATGGTCAGGAAATACACACGGTGATACTGGGTCCTACCTATTTGTTACAGCTGATTGTTGAGCTATGGTCAAAGCATGTCAAAGCCACAACTTTAATCCTCCCACTTTACAAGACAGCGAAACCGAAATCAGGCTCAGAGGACAACGCTAATGGTTCATGATGCCTCCTAAGTCTCAAGGGAAGAGCAAGGTGGAGAGTAAAGGCAATTTGGTTTTGGCAAGCTGTCAACACTGGGAGTTTAGAGGGCAAGGAGAGCTGGGTGTGCGGATGACTTCTGACTGTCACGGCAGGAAGCTTGCTGAATGCCTGGGTTATCACCAGTGACACTCAAAAAGCAGCTCAAACCTTCTTAGCTGCCCTCCGTGGTCAAAGTATGTGCTCATCTTGAATGCTGGGAGAAAGCTGACAATGATTTCAAAGCGGGTGCTTAAGGACAGAGAGGAGAGACTAAACAAAAGGAAGTGGCCTACTTAAACAAGAGTAACCATTACCATCAACACAAGGATTAGTCTGAGCGAGTTCATAAGAGTTTGTCGGAAAAGGAGTAAATAATCAATGCTTTCAAAATAAACTGTTTTGGTAAATGTAAAAATATATACACACACACACACACACACGTACATGTGTGTGTGTGTATTTTAAATGAGTATGTTTCCAAAATCCTAAAAGTGGTCAGTTCACACCACAGTGACAACTGCCAACCACATTGCATTCCCTCCACTTAGTCCATGCCACCAGAACTTATTTTTAAATTTCAAAAGATTTTAAGGTTACTGTTAACCATTCCAGGACAAACTAGTGCACAGTCAAAATTCAGCCCATCCAACCGCTGAGTCTGATGAAAACCAGTTGCCATAACTGTTCCCACAGCGACCCTCTGGGACTGAGGCTGGCTCCTCACACTCTCGACAGCTGGAAACTCTTACAAAAACCTGCCGAGAGAAAGTGCTTTCAGTTCAAGCCTCCCAGTACACTCCATACCATAAATTTCTAGGGGATAAAGTTAAGGGACTTCATGGGCGAGGATGGGGAGGAAGGAGGCATGATCCACAAGGTTACGCTCTTGCAGATATTCAAAGAGTACAGCCACATCTCAACTGAAGCTCCCCTTTCACCGAATCTGCCCCATTTAGCTCTACTACGTTTCTAGGTCCAGAAGTAATAAAGGGGTTACTATAGGGCTGAAAAGGAGCTAGTAATAGGATCCATAAGTTCAAATCTACCAAACTCTTTCTTTCAAATAACTGGATTTCTACAGAATTTTCTGTTGTTGTTTAGTTGCTAAGTCATGTCCAACTCTTTTACAATCCTGTGGATTATAGCCTGCCAGTCTCCTCTGTCCATGGGATTTTCCAGGCAAGAATGCTGGAGTGTGTTGCCATTTCCTTCTTCAGGGGATCTTCCTGACCCAAGGATAGAACCCAAGTCTCCTTCATTGCAGGTGGATTCTTTACTGCTAAGCCACTACCATATTTACTGTGGTCAAATCCCAGGACAATCTAAAGTGCTAAAGGGGGCCAGCAGATCATCAGAAGGAAAAACTTAACATTCAGAAGTTGTACTGCTTATCAACCCTATTTTCTATTCCTCCAAATTCTTTTCAGAGCCGCAGTGCATCCTAAATGCTCGTACTAGCGACAACCACCTTCCCAGCTCTGGTCTGTTGGGACCTTCCCCTTCTTCCTACAAGATCCGGGCTGCCCCCCTCTCCTCTCTATGTGTCAACTGTTTCTAGTCTCAGTTTTCTTTT